CAACGGCTGGTGACTTCCACCTCTCCTCCGGGTTCAATACTGACGGAAGTCACCTCATAGCACTCCCTCTGTCCTCTTCGCTCCCAGGAGTTCTTCTGGGAGGGATCCAGCCCCTCGGCTGATGAGCTCAGCACTAGGACTGAGCAAGTATGGTGAGAGGACACACACCTTTCCCACTTTTAAAACCAGGCAACCTCCCTGGGCAGTCTCTCTGTCTGCCCCCAGCAGCCCCCACCCAGGAAGCTTCCCTGGATCTGTGTGTCTGTGAGGCCCTGGGTGCTGGTGGACTTCAGGCACACTGGCAAGGTGCCAGCAGGTGGGCTGAAAGCGCTCAGTAATGTCCAGGCCCTGGATCCAACCTCTCTCCCGCAACGAGTGAGCAGGTGCTTTGGAGGCGACAATTAAAGTAACAGACACCCTTTAAAAGAGCACACTGGCTTCCTGCATCACATGCCGCCAGTTGGGGCTAGTGCCCTGTGTGTGCAGGTCTGTGGGGGCGAGCCCGGGCCTCCCTGAGCCTTGTACACTCTAGGTGAGCACTCCCGGGCAGGGTCCACAGCTCCCACCTTCCGAGCCGTCCAGCTTGTTGGTGGGCACCACGTGTGGCTCCCTGATGAGCCAGCTGGTTTGGGTTCACAGTAGAAACTTCAATTTCGTCCTGGACCTCACAAAACGAGTGCTGTGTGCCCATGAACCTCGAACAACCGGCCGATTCACGGTGCCGGGGAACACCGCCAATGCTCCGGGGGCGGGGACCCCCGGCACATACACACGGACTGTCACTCAGCCCGCCCAGCGCCTCACAGGCCACACAATGCGAGCCCGACTCGCCTTGCTTCTCAATGGGCCGTCTTGTCACAGGGTTGCTGCAGCGAGGGAAAGAGCGTCTCTGGACTTCGGGTTTTAGATTTGTCATTGTCAGCACAGACACGAGGCCACACTGAAGAGCAGCCAGGAACCTCTCCCCTGCAAGTCCCTGGTGAGACTCGGTGCACGGCGCCGTTTCCACAGGCCCGCAGCCCACAAAAGCACATTCGGTGGGTGGGGAGAGGCTCCTGGGGTCTGGGCAGGGCCGCCCGGAGCTCATCTCTGTGACCACAGCCAGCCCAGGGGACAGAGACCGTGTGCACAGACAAAGCGCCCATTCACGGGCTAGGGCCCGGAGCGTCAGCCTCACAGGACGCCGAGAGCCCAGCGGCTGACCCAGGCGCGGAGCGAGGGCACTCTTTCCAGACCTCAAGAGGACCAACACAGCCCTTTTGGCGGGAGGGTGGGCAGTTGCTAGGGAGACCACTGTTGAAACTCACACAGAGGGAGAACACTGTACATCTCTCAGCTCCTCTGCTAGCCCGGGCCAGTCTCCTCCTTTCCTTGAATGGCCACCTGACTTTTCCCACCTCCGGTCATCTCTTCCCTTCCACCCGCCCTCCAAGGTCTCCTTAACCGTGAACCCTGACCCAGCATGCAGCATGCGCTGTGGATGAGGGACCTCATCGCCACCCATTTCTCTGGGGCAGGTGTTCTTCTGGCCCGTTACGCAGATGGTCAGGCACGGGCGAGCCATGTGCTCAGAAACCCTTGAGAAAGGAGAAAAGCGACGGGTCTGCAGCCATAGGGCCGTGGCCCAGACCGCCAGCTGCTCTGTGGGGGAAAAAGGAGCTTTCTGCTCCTGCAAAGTTGGGAGCTTCAGAAACCCTCGTTAGGGTGGCCCGTGAATCATCACCACGATGGCCGTGGGCGTGGGTTTCTATTTTTACACCACCTCAAGGAGCCCTGGTGGTGCGGTGGGCTCAGTGCTGCGAGACCAAAGGTTGGTGGTTCAGGGCCACCAGCCACGCCTCGGGAGAGCAAAGAGGGGGCCGGGACCTGTGAAGATGCATGGTCTCAGACACCCTGTCCTGCGAGGGCACTGTGTGTCCAGTCCAATGCGAGGTCCGTGGGTTTGTGTTCCCTGGGGGTGTCTGGCGCTTGGGGGCAGAATTCCCACCCTCTGTTGATGGAGATGCAGCGGAACAGGTGTCAGCAGAGCGGCCAGACTAAGGGGCCTCGGAAGAAAGGCCTGGCAATCATGCCTGAAACCAGCCACACAGGCCTCCAGGGTACGGTGCTCAGACCCGCTGGTGCTTCCTCTCGCTGGAGGGGGGGTGGGGGGCAGTCGGGGGCCAGCTCTGAGGGAGCTGTCAGTGGCCCGTCACTGTAGCCAGGCCACCAGCACAGGCTCCCTGCTCTGGCCCCAGCAGCCTGCTGGGCCCACCGCCTGTTTCCAGTAGCTCTGGGGGTCCCGCTGCCCCACACAGGTGCAACAGTTGGGATAGGAAGGGTCTGAGCCACTTCCAGCAGTGTCTGGTACAGGGAACATCAGAGACGATGGGGGCAGAGTCATCTCCCCCCACCTCCCACCCCCACTCAATGTTAAGAGCTCTCTGTCACGCTAGTAACATTCAAAGGCAAACCCCCCACATAGGGGCTGGCTTGGCATTTCCTAGGCCGAGGTATTTTGCTTTCCTGGTGAAGCGAGAGCCAGTTGGTGTGTGTGTATTTCAACACATACATAGGTATTACTACAATAGAAACAATGAATGCCTACAGTTAGTTGCTAACACTTGGCTTGAAAACACTCCTGGGATCCTTTGATACCCAGCCCAAGTACCCTCTTCCCTGAGAAGCTCCCCAGCCCCACTTCTTCTTGGCCCCTGCCTCCAGGACCACCCAGAGTCCACAAAGCACCACAGCACCAGGGATTAGTGGGAGATGGCGGCCTGCGTGCTTCACAAGCAGCCAAGTTAAATGTGGGGCCGCTCACCACAGGGCCGGTGGTTCAAAACCCACAGCCGCTCTGAAGAAAGATGAGGTCATTTGTCTCTGTAGAGCCTTACTCCCTCAGAAGCCCTTTGGGGGGGGGGTGTCCTGCACCCTTCCTACAGGGGGGTCCTACATCCACCCAGATGGGGTCCCAGCGAACACCCCTGGGCTCTGCTTACAGCAGCCTCAGGAGGGCACGGTGAGGTAAGGTCACCTGAACGCCTTCCTGAGGATTCTGCCACCCTCAGGTCAAAGGTACAGTTCTTATCTGACCTGGGGGGTGTGGGCCAGGTAACTAAAGATAGCTGGGTCATCCTTTCTCATTCGCTGACCCAGCATCGTGGGGAGAGGAAGGGCCAGGGTTAGCAGGTGCTGGGCGGGGTTCCAAGGAACCTCTGTGTGTGTCTTTTGTGGCTTGTTTGGAAATGTCGTCTCAAAACACCATTTTTAACAAGTAAATTCAGGGAATGCAGGGTTCTGGCTCACAGCCCGATGGGGGCCTTCACACCTGCTGTCTGAGGACAGGTTCCCTGGGGAGTGGGAGGGGCAGCTTGCACTTCTCACAACGTTTGGATCCTGGAATCCTTGGACAGGACAGGGGCGTGTTGGGAAAATACCCAGAGGCAGGTCAGGCCATTTCCTGGCTTCCTAAGTAAGGACTTGCTTTGCCAGGGCTCTGTTCCCTCTCCAGAGGATGGAGTCCAGGGGAGGCCAAGCCAAGGAGGCGGCTGACCGGAAGGGAAGGAAGAACGCTTCAGATTCCTTCAGATTCTGTGCGGCAGGAAAGAGACACGGGACCCACCCTGACACTGTCCACCTTTCTGGGCAAGAACTCAAGACAAACCCACGCCACCGAACACATCTCGACTCACAGCAACCCTACTGCCGAGGGTTTCCCCGAGGGAGCAGCCTCACCTTTCTCCTGCAGAGCAGCTGGTGGGTTTGAACTGCCCACCTTGGGGTTAGCAGTCCAGCTAGCGGCTGCACGTTAGAGAGCCGTGGTGGCCCGCTCAGTCCTGCAGGGTCGTTGGGAGGCCAAGCTGAGGAGCCAGCGACAGCTCGGGCGTTTCTCGGTTGGCGCACAAGCTGCGGTTTTGTTCCTGGAAGGCCTCTCTGCAGAGTCCGGGTCCACTCACAGCGGCCCATGGGTTATAATATATAATATATAAAGGCCCGGGGTCGCCTTTCTCCCTTGGCATGCTGTGAGGTGCACAGCAGTGTTGACTGTTGTGCTAGCTGGTTTTAGGGGCTCGGATATGGCATCGCACCTTGATGTCCTTTTCCCCTTCCCCAAAGCCCCACCCCACCCCCATGCTAATAAGCAGCGAGAAATGGGAAAAGTTGTTTCTCCCTGAAAACCCCCAGCCAGGGCAGGAGTCCGGAGAACAGGTGGGGGCCCTGCTGACAGTATCTCTGCACAGGGCGGCAGACCCCACGGGCAGGGGCTCCTTCCAGTGGAGCAGCCCCAGCAGGATCCCCCCCCCCCCCGCCAGGTTTCCTCATTCTCACTCACTGCCCCCTACATGCAGGCCCAAGCCCACGCTGACTGCAACCGAGACTCCCCTAAGGAGAGACCAACTGTGCCAGCTCCCCTCCAAGTACTGGGGGTGTGCTTCACCCGGCACCACCAGAGTCCATCGCAGATCTGCATATGCAAACGAAACAATCCTCCAGCTAATCGCAGCCACACTTTCATGCAGACACCCGGGGCTGTGCTATGCAAGAAGCCGTCTCCTCTGGACTGCGTCTAAGGGAAGGGCTTTCTGTAGGCTAACAGGCGGCCGCCGCCATGGCCCACCTGGCCCCCTCCTCATAAACCGAGGCCCTCCTCCAGTTCTGGTTTTAAGGGGCCCCCGCTCGGTTACGTGTCAGGGCCCGGGTGAGTCCCACGCATCTGCTTCCTCCGGTCATTAAAATGAACTAGCTTTGGTTCTGCACAAAGGCCATCCTGACAACTTGGGGGCTGCCAGCAGCAGCTGACACGCACACGCGTCTGTGCTCGGCCACACACAGAGCAGCTCACGCGCACGCAGACACGTGTGCACACGCACAGCCCCGCACCTGTTCAGAGCGCTTATGCGCGGGCACACACACGCAGATGCACACGGACGCGGTGAGCAGAGGCACACAGACAGGTCCCCCGTCCCCGGACGCAGGTGCCCGTGGCGGTGCCCCGCGGGCCTGGGCTCAGGGCGTACCTTCGTGTTTCTCCTCAGGCTGCGGAGGATGTTCCTCCTCCTGGGGTCCTCGTCGGTCTCATACGGGATGACGGCATTGTCCCCTTTGTAGCCCTGGGACGCCTGGTCCTCCTCCTTCTTCCGGATGGGCCCCAGCTCGTCGTCGCTGCCCACGCTGAAGCTGGTCCGGTAGCTGGCAAACCTCCCCAGGCGGGCGCACCGCGTCCTGTACAGCACCGGCTTGCTGACCACAGACACCTTGCGGCCCCGCTCCAGGGAGCCGGTGTCCATCTCGCTGTCGGAGCCGTTGCCGCTGCCGTTGGACTGGGCCTTGTTGATGTTGCGGATGGTGATGATCTTGCCCTGGGTGCTGTCGTGGGGCACCGAGTAGATGTTCTCCTCCTCGTTCCTCGGCTTGACCACCGCGTCCATGGGCTCGGCGTAGTCCGAGGGGTCAAAGCCATCCGGCGGGAGCCAGCTGGAGGACACAGACTTGCGCTGGCCGTCGCGGTGGCCCTGGTCCAAGTAGGACAAGTCCCCCTTGGTGATGTCAAAGTGGACGGGCGGCTTGGGCTTGACGGGCGGCGGGACTCTGTGGTTGAGCTTGCTCTCAAAGTTGCTCATGAAGAAGGACAGCCCGTCGCTGCCCTCCAGCTCCATGGAGAGCTTGGAGTGGTCTTTGGACAGGGCAGGCAGCGGCGTGTCCTCGCGGAACAGCCCGTAGGCGGGGGGCTCGGGGTCCTCCTCGGAGTCCTGCAGGTTGGAATTGCAGAGCGGCGAGCCGGCCCGTGGCGAGCTGAACACCTCCTCGGTGGTGCTGCAGGCCTCTGCCGCGTTGTCGTACATGTGCGCTGCCTCCACGATGTTCTTCTTCTCCACCACGTCCTTGAAGAACGGGTGGAAGAGCTCCAGCTTGGGCTGTGGCTGTCCGCCGGGGATGCTGGCGAAGCGCCCGTCAATCTCCTGGGCGATCTCCTCGCCCTCCGTCAGCTGCTCGCGGCTCACGTCGTTGTCCAGGACGTCGACGGCGCCATCCGTCAGCGCCACCAGCTGGATGGGGACAATGTCCTGCACTTCGCAGAGAAAGGCACGCAGCATGGCCAGGGAGGCCTTCCGCCTGGCCGAGTAGAACACGATGTAGCCGTGCACCAGGCGGCTTTTGCGGATGCTGAACGAGGAGTGGTATGAGAGGATGGACAGCTCGATGCGCCTCCGGTGGAGGCCGACGGGCAGTTCCAGCAGGACCGAGCTGCTCCCCCCGCACTGGGAGGACTTGCAGGTCTGGGCCTGGAGGACGGGGAGCAGGATGTCGTCGGCACTGAAGGGGTCCCCGCACATCAGGCACATGACGATGCGCAGGTCGGCGTCAGCCAGCTCCTTGATGCTCGGGGTGGAGCCCACCAGGTTGAGGTTGCGCTTCGAGTCCAGGAGGCCCTTCAGCACCTGGCTGATGTGCCGCTCGTTGATGTTGCGGCCGTACCCAATGCCGGCAGAGGCCGGGTCCAGGAAGACGCACTGCAGCTTGCTGGCGACCTGCTGGCCCTGTTGGATCAGGCTGTGCAGGGACTCCCCACTGGCGTCGCCCCTCTTGTTCACCAGGATCAGCGTCAGCGGCAGGTGGGCCTGGTGGGTGTCGCGCCGGCCCAGCGTGGACTCCCGGCTCTTCTCGATGCTCTCCACGACATAGGACAGGGACTCCTTCGAGCTGTACAGGCAGAGGCAGCCGTGGGGCTGGAAGGTCGGTGTCTGGAAGGAGTTGACCGGGAGCCGCACGTTGCCCTCGATGGGCCGCAGGGACAGCTCGTACATCTTCCCGTCGATCACGTACTTGTCGTCGTTGGTGCAGAGGGCGCGGATCTCGTTGGCCAGCTCGCGGGCCAGGCCGTCCCTGCCCAGGATGACCAGGTTGATCCGGTCGATGCTGGGGTCGCACAGGGAGTTCTTCTGGTTGCGGTCGGCCGGCCGGAGGAAGCGGGAGGCGATCAGGTGCTCGATCTTGGCATCCACGCAGGCGGGGCAGCTGGGGCACGTCTCCTTGGTGGGGTGGTAGACAAAGTGGACGTGCTTCAGGATGAGGGCGTCGCGCTCCGCCTGCAGCTTCTGCAGCGCCTTGAAGCGCTGCTCCTCGCCCAGCACCTCTTGGATGACGCCCATCTTCTCCTTGCTGGGCTTGGCGTCCAGCTCCAGCTCGTAGAAGAGCTCGGAGCACTCCAGCAGCAGCTCCTGGAACTCCTCCTTGGCCCGCTCGATGATCTGCTTCTGGTGCTTGCCGTAGAGGTCCAGGTAGACGGCCTCCTCCAGCCACTGGTAGAAGTCCTCGTTCATGATGAAGCTGCGGGCCTCCTCCCAGGGCTTGCCGGGCGTGATGAAGGGCGAGCTCTCCAGGTTCTCCTTGAAGGCCCGGCGCATCTCGGCGCGCTTCCGCTCGGTCCGCAGCTTCTCCAGGTGGGCCTCGTACAGCTGCTCGGCGGGGGCGGTGTCCACCACGTCGAAGGGGATCCGCTCGTTCTCCATGTTGTCGATGTGGCTGGTGGCGTCCCACGGCGTCTCCTCCAGCACCACGAACCACTTGAGGAACTCCGGCTTGGCCTCCAGGAGCTTTTTGGCTTTGGCGCAGCTGAGGTGGTCGATCTCGTCGAGGCTGGGGACCAGGGCCTCGAAGGCCAGCGGCAGGGCTGCCAGGTAGAGCTTCCGCCGGCGCTCCACGTGCTCCTGCTTGAGGCGGTGGATGTGCTGCAGGAAGAGCTTCTTGGCCTTCTGCGTGCCCTCCAGGTAGACGTAGTCCTGGTACTCGGGCGAGGCCTGCATCTTGCGGCTGACGCTCAGCCAGCTCTCATTGTGGTGCTTCACGATGCGGCTCACCAGCCACTCGTACTTGTCCTTGGCCGCGGCGATCTGCTGGCTCTGCTGCTTCAGGGCCTCGAAGTACGGGGTGATCTTCGTCTTGCCCCGGCTCTTGTCGATGAGCTGCGCTAAGGTGCTGAAGGCCAGGTCCACGTTGACGTTGGACCGGGCCGAGGTCTCCACAACCTGCAGGTTCTTCTTGCTCAAGGCGAAAGTGTGCGCGTCCCGAATGTACCGCTCCACGCCCTCGTCACACTTGGTCAGGACCACCACGATGGGCTTCTTGGTCTTGGCCAGCTGGGTGTACAAGTTGGAGACAAACTTGAGCTGGTCGTCGAAGTTCCTGTTCATGCCCCGGCTGACGTCGATGCCCAGGAGGAAGCCGTCCACCAGCAGCTTCCCGTCGGGCATCTGCTTCTGCTCAAAGTCCTGCTCCAGCCCCAGCTGGTCCGTGCAAAAGTACATGAGCTTCTCGGCGGAGGCCAGCTTGGTGGCAGCCGCACGCTTGATGTAGGGCTGCAGGGCCGTGCTGCGGTGCGGCTGGAAAGTCTGGTCGTCAATGAACTCGGTCTGCTCCACCACATGCACCTTGCACTCCACGCAGTCCTCCAGGGAGCGGCCCACCTCGCCCCAGTAGAGGAAGTGATCGTTGTTGACCACGCGGCCCCCGAAGTCGCTGGTGCTGAGCACGGAGGTGTGGTCCAGGTGGAACTCGTCGGCGCTGGGGCGCACAAAGCGGTTGCAGAGGCAGGACTTCCCGACGCCGCACTGGCCCTTCTCCTTCTCCGTCCCGGACAGGCCCACCACGCTGATGTTGTAGGTGGGGATGCGGACATCTTGCTTTCTTGCCATCATCATCGTCGACACATCCTGCCACAGTCCACCACGGCCGAGATCAGATTCGAGTGGTCCAGGGGCTCCGACGGCGGCCCAGCACCATCAGGGGGCGCCGACTGCCCGAGCAACCCAGGGGGCAGGTCCCACGGTGCTTGCACACCAGCGCAAGGTTAGTGTTGGTGGCCGCTCATCACGGGGTGGCCCACATGTCCTGCGAGGGGGGGACGACAAAAGGGAACCCCGTCAGCACCATCCATTTACAGACCGATGGCAAAGCCCCCTGCCTTTTTCCGGAGCCGACAAGCATTCAGTAGGCACCTCGTGTGCCAGACGACTGCGTGCTAGGTGACAGCCTGACAGGGAGGCTGTCTGTCACTCACGGACCGCCCCCAGAGCGGAAGACGTGGGCACAAACAGGGTTAACACCACCAAACAAAACCCAAATCCACCTCCATCGAGCCCATGCTCACGCGTGGCGAGCCCTGCGGGTGCCCCGACTGTAACTGTGGACGGGAGCAGAGCGCCCAGTTCTTTCTCCCCTGCGGCTGCTGCCAGATTGCGGGCCACCAGGGATCTTTGGACACAGGGTACCAGCACTAAAATAAAGGTGTGAGTGCTCCCACTGGCCAAAAAACCCCAAACAGACAATATTCAAGTCGAACTTCTCCCGTGGGTTTCCAAGGCTGTGAATCTTTATGGAAAACCTCACCTTTCTCCCTCTGCGGAGAAAGCAGCTGGGGGTTTTGAACAGCCAACCTTGTGATTTGCGGCCCAACATGTGACCCGCGCTGTCCCCAGGGCTCCCCACAACCTGACCAGAGCTGGTAGCAATGGCACAGAAGACCAGGGGGCCCGCTGAGGAGGGATAACAGCGCCCAGCAGCTCAGTGCTGAAACGCTCAACCCTAAGGTCGGCAGTTCAAAGCCACCAGCTGCTGCCCAGGAGACAGACAAGACCTGGAGATCGGCTTCCGTGAAGAGGACACCTTGGAAAGGCTATGGGGCAGGACTCCTCTGTCCCTTCGGGTCACTCGGCCGGCGTCACAGCCGACTTGAGCTGCCGGCAAGAGGGTTGGGTTTGGTTTTTGTTTTGTTTTGTTTTTTTGAGAGACTGAGTGAATTATCACCCACTGGGGAGAAATAGAAAGAGGAGGCCACACAGCTGGACCAGACAAGAACCAGCAAAGGATACCCAATCGGGGGTGCATCTGGGGGAGGGGCAGGGTCTCTGTGCAGACCCCAAGTAGCTCACCTCCCAGCGGTTACAAGGAGAGCCAAACAAAGCCACTACCCAATCATGACGCAGTGAAGAAAGAAGTCCCATGAGACTGGCGGGGGTGGGGGGGTGGGGTCACAGTTAGCCTCCCCGAGGGGCAGTGGGCATGGGAGTTAGCAGCACCATGGCCAGTTTCTTCGGCCGGGGCTGCACAGCCTGGACGCCATCCTGAGGCAGTGGGTGGCCACACACGCATAAACCCCTCGTGAAACGGGCTACGCAGGGTCAGGGGAAAGGGTCCCGCTAAAAGGAGCCTGGAGAGGCAGGGCAGGGCAGCAGCATGTGACTGCCCAGCTGAGACTGGACCCAGTGTGTGTGTGTGTGTGTGTGTGTGTGTGTGTGTGTGAAGACCAGGCCTTCCGCTCTGCCCTCTGACCAGAGACAAGAGCACTCTGTCAATAGTGGCTTGCTACTACGGGAGAATCACTACCTGCTTCCTGGGAGACATACTCTAAGCTCTCTGGGGGAGGAAGGACCAGGATGTATGCTAACCTGGCCTGCCAAAAAGCTCCACACACACAGAGAAAGTGAGGTGCAATCAGCAGGGGCGAGTCTGGGTAGAGCGTACAGGCGACTTGGGTGGCACCATGGTTTGGCACCGCAGCTCTGTGGGAGGTGAGAGGGGGCGGTCTGCGTCTGTAAAGAGGCCAACCTCAGAAGCCCTAGGAGACAGGTCTTTTCTGCCCTATGGGGTCACCGTGAGTCAGAATCAACTCCAGGGCAATGGGTTTGGGGGCTTGAGTAGCCAGTCCTTTGTGCTACTTAACTTAAGGAACTTTCAAGAATCCACAATTAAGACTTTCGTCTTTTGGGGGGTGGCAGTGGGGTGTTCTTGCCCACAAGAGGGTTGGCTCTCTGAGGGAGGGGCCACACATGCCCAGACCCTGAAGCAAGCATACGGTGGGCGGACGGGTGGACGGTCAGACAGGGGATTCAGTGAGTGCACCTTTAAGGATTCCAAGTTCAGCCTCAGGAGAAAGACGAGGCTTTCTGTTCCCATAAAGAGCTGCAGTCTTGGAAACCCAGGGGCAGGGGCAGGGGCAGGGGTGGTTCTGCCTGGTCCTGTAGGGTCGCCGCTGTGAGTGGGCATTGCCTGGATGGCAGGGAGTGAGGTGGAGCCTCTTGGATTTAGGCGCGATCTCGGGCAGCGGCTGGGAGCAAGCACGAGTGGTGGGAGGAGAAGGGCAGAGGGGTGGGCAGGGAGGCAGGAGCCCGGCTAAAGCCACTGCTAGAGGCTGGAGCCCTTCCAGGCAGGTGTGGGGAACCACAGGATGTGGCTGGCAAGCGGCACCTTAAAGGAGCTGTGGTTTCCACAGCTGGAGTCAGGAGAAGCTATTACGATGTCTTACGAAGTCTTTAGCCACTTCCCAGCTGAGCAATGAAAACGCGCCGCTGCCCATGGTGAGGAGACACACACACACACACACACACACACACACACACACACACGGCATGGCCTTCTCCGAGGCTAGGGCATGATGGTCACAGCTGGACCCATGACCGAACAGACGCTCTCCCAAGACAACTACAAAGAGGAGAGGTTCAACTAGGGAGATGGCAGCTGCCTTCTGCATCCCGGGTGTGTCCAGAGAGAACCCGGCATCCGACCACACAGAACCCCTGCAAGCCTCTCTCCCGAGACCACCACCCAGAAATCCCTGTGGACAGGGGGTGGGGTGGTACCGCCAGGGGGGAGAGCATGGGCCCACCCTGTGAGGAAAACCGCAGACAGACACAGGCTCTCCCCAAATCCCCTTTGACCCAGAGGGCCAAACTCTCCTGGAAATAAGCGGGGACAGGCATGGTGTGCGTGAACCACGTGACCATTCTGTGCCGCTGCCTCCAGGTCACCCACTGGCCGATCCTGAAGCTCCAGACATTAACTGATGCCAGCAGGCGCACCCAAGGAAAAAAGCCCACACCACCCTTCCCTGGGCGCCTGCCCGGTGTGCACCCACCGCGACATGCTTGTGAAGATCTACCACCCTGCCAGGGGGCCGTGCTGCAGGCAGAGGCTGCCTGCCACGTGGTCACGATGCTGGGTGCTGTGCAGCAGTGCATTTAGAAAATGGACAGGCTTCAGCAGAGCCTCCAGACTGGGGCAGACTACGGAGGCAGGCCTGCAGGTCAGCCAACGAAGCCCTGAGGGATCCCACCAGGAAGGATCACTCCAGGAGGAAGGCAGGGTCTGGTGAGGCAGAGGACCAAGGGGGCGGGCTGGGTGGGCACAGCGGCACAGTGAAGGGCTTCGGCCTGAGGATGGGGGGGCTGGGCAACCACCTGCTCGACTGTAGGGGAGGTGTGTCTATGAAGAGCTAGAGCACTTTAGGCTCCCTCCCTGGTCAGGGAAGCGCATGGAACTCCACCATCATCCAGCCCCTGCGGGAAAGAGCAGACCTGCCCCCTTGGGTTCCCGAGACTGGCACTCTTTACCGGGAGCGGAAAGCCCGTCTTTCTCCCAAGGAGCGGCTGGTGGTCTCAGCCCGATGCAGAACCACTTGGTCCCAGGGCTCTCCCTGGTCAGGCTGACCCTGCCACCCAAGGTGCTTTTAGACATGACCCTGGTGCGTCCAAATAGAATGTCGTCGACCCGCCAGCAGGCGCGGTGTCCCAGAGCCTCCGAGGGTGAGCTTCAGAAGGTGAGAAAGCCACAGGCTGGGGTCTAGTGACGTACCCAACATGGCCTTTCCGGTCACAGTGTGGGTGGGGCTAGGAAAACAAGGTGCTGATGATGGCCGACCTAGGAGACCGGACAGTCTGGGAGCAATCCAAACAAGGTGAGGGGCCGGTCAGCTTTTGCCATTCCACTGGGCCTAACTAACCCAGGCCAATCCCGGAGGCTGGAGGGAGCAACTCACTGCCACCAAGAAAGAGCAGGAGCAGAGCGGGTCCTTTGGATTCAAGGCACCTGCGCGGAGGCCCTTCTAGACCCAGAAGACAGACAGAGGACTGTTCACACTGGAAACGGCAAACCGCACAAGCGAAACATGGCAGCCGCAGGACCAGGCAGGGGGTTGCAGCAGGTGTGCTCACCCTCGCGAGACCTGCTGGCAGCGTGGGTGCCTCTGGGCACTTATCAACAGCTCAGGAGCTTTGTTAACACTTGCCTGAGCGGGGCAGAGGCTGAGGGAAAGGCCTGCCCAAGGGCACAGCAGAGGAGCTGTCCTGACCGAAGAGCTGTATCCCAAGGCTTTCCCAGTCCTGAATGGAAGCCTGACATGTCTCTAACAAACCCGACCGTGCTGAGTGTGGCCTTACAAGTAATTCTCCAGGCCAGGGGAGAGGTCCAGAGGGCCCTGAGGTACCCAGCGGGGGACCATAAATGGTTTTGGGGGCAGAGGCCTGTCTTCCGCCCAGCCCCAGCCCGGGCTGATGCTCCTGGTCCCTGTGAAGTCCTACAAGGAGGTCCGATGCCACCGTGCCATTTCTTCTTTGGGTGTTCAAGTACCAGTGCCCTTGTCTCTTGGTGTCTCAAGGCCACTCATGGACCAGTCTGGAAATACAATTTGGCAAAGTGCTCCCACCTCTGGTAGCCATCTGTCAACTCAATTATTCTCTGGAAAGTGGGCCCAAACAACCCACATTTTCAGAGAAACCTGGGCAGAGGGGTAGGGGTGGGGGTGGGGGCCTAAGACTGCAGCAGCCTGCTCTCACCATCATTCGTCTGCCCGTCTGTCACACTGAGGTGGCTCGTGTGATGCTGGCAGCTGTGCCACTGGTTACCTCAAACCCCAGGTTGTGGTGGAGCTTCCGGACGAAGAACAGACTACAGACTACGAAGAAGGCGTCGGCTGTCCGCATCAGAGGAATGAGCCCCTGAGAACCATATACAAAGAGTCGGAACGTTGTCAGTTACTGCAAACCTAAGACCAGCTGCTCCGTCAGGTCGGAAGGGACTTAAAACGGGGCTGAGGAAGAGC